AGTACAGTTGGACCCAGGCAGGGTGCTCTTCAGGGACTGAGTGCTACACAGGTGACACAGAACCAAGAATTTGCTGAGAGGCACCATCCAGGAGCCTCAACGCACTGAAACCAGAAGAACAGCCAAAGCATTGCGTTTGCTTTTTTTAGAACAAGGTAGCTGATTTGGAAGGCAGATCTTGTTGCAATGATCTGCATATTGTGCAATTTCCAGAAGACACAATGATGAAAGCCTACAGGATTCCTGCAGAAAGCTCCACCTAGAGGGAAATCCTGGCCTCATTGAAGCTAGCACACTTCAGGTGTATTTGCAATGATAAAGAATACCATCATAATAAAGAAACCATTGCCCTCTGTGACAGGTTGCTCCCTTTCAAGGTACCACTTGATGTGCTGAGATACCACTGAGCTCGACTGTTCTGCCAGCATGGGCCCCCTTTAACCTGTCTTGCTGAGCCAGACTCTTAAGCCTCCTCTAGCACAGACACAGGCAGGGCCATACCCCACTGCAGAAAGACAGAGACACAGAGATCGGCTCTGGAAAGACTCAGCCAAAAGGACTTGCCCCAGCACTCAGGTGCCCACCTTCCTTAGAGTGCAGACCCAAAGATATATTGTCTTGCGCAATATGGAAAAAATCTGCACAGCACAAGCTCATATAAATTCACCCTCTTCCTCAAACTGAAGAGAGATGTGCACGCCTCCTTGCCGCCCCCAGTTAGAAATTGCACAAAATGGGTTTAATAATAAACAAAATAAATGTATTACCTATAAAAGGCAGATTTTAAGTGGTTAAAGGGATAGCAAACAGAAAAAAGCAGATTACTAAACAATAAAACAAAACATGCAAACTAAGCTTGATTGACTAAAGAAATCGGCTACAAATAGCAATTTCTCACCCTAAAAGTTGTTTCAGGCAGATTACAGGGATTCTTGAAAGCCAGCTGCATTAGCCTGCCGCTTGAAACTTCAGGTATTTTTACTCACAGGCTGGACAACCACCTAGCCTGGGCTCAACTCTTCTTCCCACAGTTCAGTTCTTGTTTCCAGGTGTTTTACTGTGTCTCTTTGGTTTACTCTCCTCTTTGGGCAGGGAGGCAGAGGAGAACCATGATGATGTCACTCCCTTGCCTTATATAGCTTTTGTGTATGGCAGGAACCCTTTGTCTTCCAGTGGAAAAACGTTGGCATTCCAGGGGGTGTGGGGTGTCCAGTACCAGGTGACTCAGACCCAGGTCTCTGCAGGGCTGTAGCAGCCATTACTCGTAGGCTGTCTGGAGCTTCCACAGGAAGACTAAGCCCTTTCACAGTCCATTGACTTTGCTAATGGGCCATCAGCCCTGTCTGGCTTTTTCATTGTTGTACCTGAAGGGCTAGTTGTGGGTGACACCCAAAGTAGCACATTTGAAATACAATATTCCTAACTTCAGAAATGATACAGGCATACACATTGGATAATCACGTTCAGTAAATCATAAGCTTTCCAATGATATGTCACATGGGCCATCTTACATGAAGTATATCTCATTTATGCCATATCCATATCATAAGCATATTTCATAAAGAGTATGGAGTGTAATGTCACACCCTGCACCATTTTCCCAGTTCTGAAATGAAAATTCAAGGAGCCCTCCTATGCCATTCAGGGCTCGATATTACAGATTTTCAGTGGGAAGGATGAAGACTTTATTTCAGGGCTGAGGCATACAAGGGGTCATCAGCAAAATGAAAGGTGTCACTCCGCTCTTCCCCAAAAAGTGTCCAGCCATTTGGTTTGTTCTGACACCAAGACAGGTGGTCATCGCTCAGAAAATAGCTTATGACCTTAAGAGGCCTCAGCTATTCCTCAATAGCACACCTTGGTCAAAGCCTTGGGTTGGGATTTTTGCAAAGACTGATCAGAGCCAGAACACCCTCACTTTCTTGGGGGGTTGAATTCCTAACCTGAATTGCCTGGCTTGGACCCAATTCTAGCGTGCTGTTTTCATTTCACTTTGATTTACTTTTCAAGAAAGGTCCTAAAGAGCTGCCCTAAGTGTTGCAAAGTTTGGGCATTGACATGGCGTAACTAATGTGTGCACGTGAGCTACAGCTGCACGATCCGACTGCCTGCTACATTTAACATGCCCCATTTTTAACCCTTTCAGTTTGTTCCTAGTGAATCTCACGCTAATGTGAGGTTCTGAATTGAGAAGCCTGGCGACTAATGCCCATTGCCTAGCCACACAACTAGTATCTATTACAGCCATGTAAGGCACCTACCACTGTGGCATCTAAACACTGATGGTACCTAAGGTAAAACACTCCAAGTTTCATTCACATCCTATCCTGCCAATGTGCCTTTGCCCTAGAGGGGCCACCTCTAGGAACTCTGTCTCCATGGCCCCTTTGGTATTTGGCTGAGATTGCCAGTAAAGTAGGCAATTGATGACATTTGTGGGAGGGGTTTTTGAGGTCTGAATACCTCTGTGCTAGGAAATGAACTGGGTCTCACACAACTGAAGTCATATAGGGCCACCAGACTGGCATTCGACAGTATCATGGTTAGCTCACTGCAGGATGGTGCTATGCACTGGTCACAGTGATTCGTTATCAAGTCCTGGAGTCATTCAATCCCTTCATTTGTGGATGATTTGTTTTTTTTAGTTCTTGTGTCACAGCTTTGCCTTTGGTGCTAGGCAGTGGCTGTTGGGCCCCACACACTACAGCATGTCATGGCCACACAGTAAGCCAAGCAGTCCAGCACACAGCCAGAGAGAGCAAAAAATGTCCCTGGCATTCATGTAACCACAGACTGAGCCTCTTCCTGACAGCAGCTCAAGGCTAAGAGCAGCTAAAGAAGGATCACTGCTACCAGAGCGACTTTCATTTAGAATTGCTAACGAACCAGCTCCGGAGACCTCGGTAATAATTAGTCTTTGATGCTAGTAAAGTCAAAATCAGGTTAGAAAAATCTGTAACCAAGTAAAAGTAATTGTCTCTTTCATTATGGGAGGTCACTTCTTAGTGCTCCTATGGTGCACGGATAGGAGTGTTTTCTGTATCCTCCTCAGATTATAAGTCAGTTCAGATGAGAGGAATATCTCCAATGTTTCATTAAATACATATATAAAAGTCACTATGTCTCCCTGCACCCGCTCCAGAATGCTGGGCTGTGATTATGCTGAAGACAAGTGGCCTGTTTATTGCTCTCATGCTATTCCTTCTCCGATTCACTTCCCATAGGCACAAGCTGTTCTCGGAGAACAAATGTTGAAATGCAAAACTCCACAAAGGTTCTGGGACCATGCTCCAGCCACAGCTGTAGATTTTAGAGCTGGTTTGGGGTATAAAAGACTGGATTTCTCTGTTGCATCCAGCAGGTTTTGTCCCAAAAGGCAGGGGAAATTATTTGTGTAACAAATCAAAGAGGTGCAGAAAACAAGACAATTATTATGTAACTCCCCCTCGACTGGGTCTAGATCCATCCTTCTTTAGCTCCAAAAACACATGAGCTAAGAGAATTCTTGTGATTGGAACTAGTAAAAGGTGTTTTATTCTCTCTGTCCATCAGCCACAATAGGTCTACAGAGAATACACACTATAGTCACTAAAATTCCAGATGTGCTAAGGGGCTCCAGCCTGCTTGTACAATCAAGGCCAAATGGAGAATCATAATCTACTGTTGGTTGAGAATGTTAATAGCTTGCCTCAGTGAGGGCAAGGTGCCAGCTTCTCTCAGATAAGCAGCTTTTAGGCCCTTGCTCAAGAAGTCATCTCTTGATGCAGACAATCTCACTAGTTATAGCCCTTGTCTCCAGTCTTCCCTTTTGAGGGAAGGTTATTGAGCCTCCTGTGGCAAAGCAATTTAAGAGTCAGTTTTCTTTAATCCCCTTCTGTCAAGCTGTAGTCCTGGATATTGTTAATTTTTCTCCAACATAAGGAATGAACTTTTTTTTTTCCCAGTTTGACTCAATTTTATTTTCAATTGAGGAAAAAAATTGACAAAAACAAGAACAGAAGTAAAGTCTCCAAAGGGAAAGCACAGTGTGTATGTGGTTCCCCTCTAACATGCTGCATCAGTTCTGCATCACAAAATGGCAGCTGCCCCCACAGACGATAGACTCTGAGAAACGCAAAGGGGAAGTGCAACAAAAACAAAAACATAGCTACTTAGCTGCATACATCAGAGGCATGGCACAAAGACTGCATTGGTCTCAGTGGATGTTGACCACCTTCTACGGATGGAAAAAAACATTTGGTGTCCCATATGGAATCATTTAGATCCATCAAACAGTCTTTGATACCATTGACCATGAGGCTGTGTTGAGTGGCTCTGTTTTTATTTTGGTGAGAACCCAACAGCTGTTGTTTGACAGTTGCCTATTAGCCCTAAGGGCTTTCTTGTGCAGGGTATGGAAAGGTTCCACTTGGTCACCTCTCCTGTCCAACATGCATCACAAATGGAGCAGAGAATATACAATTCCCTCCTTTCCAGCCGACTTCGGACAAGTTGACTCTCTCTTATTTCCTAGTCAGAGAGAGGTTTGTGTGTCCATTGCAAACATAAATCAATGTATAAATTTCCCCATAAACAGGCTCCAATCATTTCAAGTGCCATCTCTCTTTCATTTCTGGCCACCTGAACAAATAACCTTTCATGCATGTTATTCATTTAATTTGTTTTGTGTATTTCTAATAAGTTAGGTAACACCTTTCTTGGAGCAGACTCCATTAGCATGTAAATGAACAATTTCCACAAGGAACTCATTAGAACAATGCCAAGTCAGAGGGCCCTTGATTCAGAGCAAACCTTTCCTAGTCCATTGCTGTAACAAAGATCCCAGTGCTAGTTTTAAGTTGAGTAGAGAAATGCAAAAGTAAAAATCAAACAAATATTGAAAAGTTGGACAAGGTGATGGTGACACCTGTCCCAGACTAGCCTAAATACAGATTTCACCATGCACATAGTTTATTAAAATAAACTCTTTTATTATTTACTTGGGAATAATTACAGTTGGGTGGCTGTCTAGATTAGTGATCTGCAGCGCCTGTCTAATAGCACAAAATTCTATATCTATCAACTCTCAAGTAAAAGGAGTTTCAGGGGAATTGGGAAGCCCAGCCAAGTGATTGGATTTATTTTAGGGCTGTTAAGCAATTAAAAAAATTAATCGTGATTAATCGTACTGTTAAACAATAAGAGAATACCATTTATTTAAATATTTTGGATGTTTTCTACATTTTCAAATATATTGATTTCAATTATAACACAATACAAAGTGTACAGTACTCACTTTATTTTTGATTACAAGTATTTGCACTGTAAAAAACAAAAGAAATAGTATTTTTCAGTTCACCTAATATAAATACTGTAGTGCAATCTCTTTATCATGGAAGCTGAACTTACAAATGTAGAATTATGTACAAAAAACTGCATTAAAAATAAAACAATGTAAAATTTTAGAGCCTGCAAGTCCACCCACTCCTACTTCTTGCTCAGCCAATCGCTCAGGTAAACAAACTTGTTCGTATTTGCAGGAGATAATGCTGCCTGCTTCTTGTTTATAGTGCCACCTGAAAGTTTATAGTGCCACCAGGTGTTCTCGTGGCACTGCTGTAGCTGGTATTGCAAGATATTTACATGCCAGATGTGCTAAAGATTCATATGTTCCTCCATGCTTCAACCACCATTCCAGGGGACACGTGTCCATGCTGATGACGAATTCTGCTTGATAACAATCCAAAGCAACGTGGATCGACGCACGTTCATTTTCATTATCTGAGTCAGATGCCACCAGCAGAAGGTAGATTTTCCTTTTAGGAGGTTCGGGTTCTGTAGTTTCCACATGGGAGTGTTGCTCTTTTAAGACTTCTGAAAACATGCTCCATACCTTGTCCCTCTCAGACTTTGGAAGGCACTTCAGATTCTTAAACCTTGGGTCGAGTGCTGTAGCTATCTTTAGAAATCTCACACTGGTATCTTCTTTGCATTTTGTCAAATCTGCAATGAAAGTATTCTTAAAATGAACAACACGTGTTGGGTCATCATCCAAGACTGCTATAACATGAAATATATGGCAGAATGCGGGTAAAACAGAACAGAAGACATACAATTCTCCCTCAAGGAGTTCAGTCACAAATTTAATTAATGCATTATTTTTTTAACGAGAATCATCAACATGGAAGCATGTCCTCTGGAATGGTGGCCGAAGCATGAAGGGGCATACGAATGTTTAGCATATCTGGCACATAAACACCTTGCAATACCGGCTGCAAAAGTGCCATGGAACTGCCTGGTCTCAGTTTCTGGTGACATTGTAAATAAGAAGCGGGCAGCATTATCTCCTGTAAATGTAAACAAACTTGTTTGTCTGAGTGATTGGCTGAGCAAGAAGTAGGACTGAATGGACTTGTAGGCTCTGAAGTTTTACATTGTTTTGTTTTTGAGGGCAGTTATGCAACAAAGAATATCTACATTTGTAAACTGCACTTTCACAAGAAAGAGATTGCACTGCAGTACTTGTAGGTCAATTGAAAAATAGTATTTCTTTTATCATTTTTATAGTGCAAATATTTGTAATCAAAAATAATATACACTTTGATTTCAATTATAACACATACTACAATATATTTGAAAATGTGGAAAAACATCCAAAATATTTAATAAATTTCAATTGGTAGTCTATTGTTTAACAGTGTGATTAAACCTGTGATTAATCACAATAATTTTTTAAAATCGCAATTAATTCTCAAAGGATCAAAGGAAATACTTTTTAATGCAATATTGAACTAACTTTTACAACTTGCTGCTGCGGGATATTATTGAACCAAATACTTTAGCTAGATGAAAAAGGATTAAACCATTAAAACAGGCATGCAGTGACTTTATTGTTGTTGATCATTAACTGGGACTTTCCCCGTCATATAACATTAGACTGTTATGTGCACTGTGAAAATTTCCCCATTCCTTGGAAGTATCTGGTAAAGGAATATGTCTGAAACAGAACCGCATATCAGGCTAGCTGGATTATGGGTTCATTCAACCATAGCATATCCTATATTTCTCATCTTTATAGCCCCTCATTTTTGTTCAATTCAAATTTTAAGATTTTTTTCCCCATAAACACATGGCCTGGGAGAGTGTGCAACAACGAAACATCTCTCAACAAAAGTCATTGTTAAAGTAGACACATTCCCTCTTATCCCAGCCCTCTCCAATCTTCTCCAAAGAAATCACTAGCGACAGTGATGGATGTTCAAAGCACACCCATCTTCCTGTAAGGAAGCAAAGTAATTGTAATTATGGTGACAGGGGAGGGAGAACAGTTCTGGCTCCCTAAAATAATTTCACAGTCTCATTTGCACTTGAAGAAAAAAAAAAATCTTGTTAGCAGCAAGGAAATGGATCATGAGAAATTCAGCAACTCCAAATATTTCGAAGAGATGAGAAGAATAAAAAATAAGCTCCACGAAAATCCCATCAGCCCTTTTTGTCGTGCAGGAAAAAGAGAATAAGTGAGCTCAAGTGGACAACCAGCCCAGTGTGACTTCATTGCCAAAGTCCTTTACAAGCGTTACTGGGTCTGGGAACTCCGGCCAATAGGGCAAACACTGCAGGGTGGTCTCAGTGTGCTTGATGGCCCACTAGGGTCATGTGCACACTAGCTTTCTCCCTCTGGAGAACTAGCTTCAAATTCTACAGGCAGTAAGAGAAGAGGAGTCTGCCTGTTCCAAGTCCCCCCGTCATTATATCATGGAATCACCCGCCACACCTGCCCTTAAAAGCAAAGTCAAAGCCTCACTTCCTGTGTAAGAATTCTCCAGTCTGTACTTTAGCTAAGCAACTCTGTCTCTCTTGTTCTGTTTGTACAGCCACCTAGCACAATGTGGGCCTGGTCTACAGTTAGGATCTCTAGGCACTGCTGCAATAGCAGTACGGATAAAAACTCAACAAAATTCATGAGATATGGAGAACTGGGTTAATTTAAATGATTAAATCAATGTGTGCTCTTTATCATATGGACCCCAATGTTTCCATACATCCACTATGGACCAGGATTGGTTTTGACTCAGCAACCAAGAAATGAAAGGCTTTGTAATCCATTCAAATCTCCTGAGCCTGCTAGTCTCCCTGAATTGTGTTTTCACTGTTTGGTATAGTTCCCTTACCTGCCTAGCTTACTCTTTCCAGCACAAAGATATTTGACAAGCTTCATAAATGCCTGAATGTTTGCAGTGTCGGGCATATTTCAAGTTAGAAAGAGCAGACGTGAGATAAAAATAAAGCTGAAGAATAAGTCAGTTCATGGCTTTATCTGAACCAGATTTCCCAGCACGGCTCACTATTTTAGCTCACAATATAATTATCATCCCCACTTCTACAGCAACCAGTTGGGACACAAGATACTGAAGTGATGGATTCCAGGTAAAATATAAACAAGATGACCAAAGCAGCTCTTTCATTATTATACTTGACACACTCTTCTCTTTTAGGGTTACCCTATTTCGAGTTCCCAAATAGAGGACACTACTTGGGGGGAGGAGGAGTGTGTGTGTGTGTGTGTGTGTGTGTGTGTGTGTGTGTGTGCTGGGACAGGAGAGGGTATTTGGGGGCTGCTGGAGGGGTGTGCACACTGAGATGGGAGTCAGTATTTGGGGGGCATGGAGGGAGGTATTTGGCAGGGCTGGGGTGTGTGTGCTGGGAGGGTGTATTTGGGGGCTCCTGGAAGGGTGTGTGCACTGGGATAGGAAGGGGTACTTGGAGTACTGGAGGAGATATTTGGGGGTGTTAGAAGGGTGTGTATACTGGGATGGGATTTTGGGGTGCTGGAGGGAGCATCTGTGGCCTCACACTTGAGATGGGGGGCAGTGTTGCACTCTCTGTCATGGTGGTAGCGTGGCTGGCGCAGGCCTGGGAAGTAGCACCAGCCCATCAGTCAGCGCCTCCCTGCAGGTCTCTCCCTCTCCCCAGGGCAGGGAGCCAGGGCCTGGCCCTGTCAACCCTCCTGGCCAGGCTCTGAGGCCCTGCAGCAATAGGGATGCTTTCTAATTGCTGAAAACTGGACACCTGGCCCTGCTCTTGCCCCTGAGGCTCCGCCCCCAGTCCCACCTCTTCCCCCAGACCCAACCCCCGCACGCTCCTCTCCCACATCACTCACTCTCCCCTGTCCTGGCACTCACCTGCCACCTGCTGAGCCGGGCTGGGAGGAACTGATGTGGAGCCAGCCCGCCTGCCCAGTCGAGGCACAGGGGGCTGGGGTGGGGGTCAGTCCCCAGAGCAAGGGCTGGGGAAATCAGGGCACAGTGGGGTAGGCAGACAGGATTCCCCTCACCCCCTGGGGTGGCAGCAGCACCGGTACCTACCTCTGTGCTGGAGAGGCTGGAGCGGGGTCCCAGAGCCAGCCAGCTCTCTCTGTAAAGAGTCATCAGCTTAGCAGAGACCAGCTCCTCCAGGCTCCAGCAGCAGCTGCTGCTCCTCCCGCCCCTGGTGGCGGAGGCCAGTTACTGTGGGTTCCCTTTTCAACTGGACTTTCTGGTTAAAAAAAAAAAAGACACCTGGCAGCCCAGCGCAGCAGGTCATGTGGCCCAGCCAAGAGGCGCTTGCAACTCCGCTTACCTGGCAGGGTGGGCCGTGGCAGATGGGATACAGCAGCTGTGGCTGCAGGGGAGGAACCAACTGGAGCACAGAGACAGCTCTTTCTGAGCTGCAACGTGTGCTCTGCTTGAAAAATCCCAGATATTTCCTGTTATTTGAAAAATCCCCCCGGAGAGAGAGCAGACTACCAAAGAAATAGGTCATGTCGGGAAAATCTAGCCGTATGGTAACCTTGCTCTCTTTTCTGTTTGTAAGATGTGGCTTTTTTTCTCATGCAGATGTAACACATATGGAACAACATTTGATCAGCCTTAATTTGAAGGCTCAATCCACTCTGTTTCTGTAACAGATCAGGGCAAAATTTCTTCCTGCTGATTTGCCCAGCTCTTGCTCTCCCCTGTATTCCAATCACAGTGTGTAGCTAAGATAAAGTGCAGTGTCTGTAACACATTGCAGTGGAGCTGAATCAGTTCCCATGCAGCTGGATCAGCCTCCCTTTTGTCATTCCTGGCTGATTCATTAGGCTCAGACTATTCAAAGTGATGGAAATTATATTTAGGTCAGAAATGTATTTTAAATATAATGGGTATTTCTAAAAGCATCTTATGCAGAGACTTACTGTCTGCTGCAGATATGACAGCATGTGGATCTGCAGAACCATGTTAAATTACTGTCCTTACTACATTTTTCTGATACAAAAGGAGCTCCCAAAATCTGATTTTATTTTGTTAATTCGGTGCTCTCTAAATAAGAGAGCCACCTTCTGGCAGTTCTCATTAAGGAGCCCAAAGAGGAAAAAGCTCAGATTTCCCGAAGTAAGGCGGGGGAGGGGGAAGAGAGGAAGGGGGGAGACACACACACACAAATAGCAAAAACTATTGTTCTACAATGATGGTGGAGATGGAAATGTTTTGTGCCACTGATCGATACATGAACTGGCCAGATGCTGGTTGTGAACCAATGTTAGGGATAGGGCAGGAGTTTGGTGAGGTGCCTGTGATTCTAGGGGGGTTCACCCACACCCGTAAGGGAAGCTGTGTTACCATGTACTCTGCAATCCTGGGTGCTTCTGTGCTGTGCAGCTTTGGCTCAGTGCCCTGGCACCGGCAGCCTGCTCACAGCACGGTGGCCTCACCCTGGCTACAGCTTGCAGGGTGAAACCAACAGCCCTTCCAGTCCTGAGCCTCCGCAAAACCATCTCCCCTGCAGCGTCCTGTCCCTCTCATTGGCCCCTCACAGAAGTTTAAGTTAACTGCCTCCAAAGAGGTAGGGGAGACACCAACCTGATAATAAGAAAAGGAGGACTTGTGGCACCTTAGAGACTAACAAATTTATCTGAGCATAAGCTGTAGCTCACGAAAGCTCATGCTCAAATAAATTGGTTAGTCTCTAAGGTGCCACAAGTCCTCCTTTTCTTTTTGAGAATACAGACTAACACAGCTGCTACTCTGCAACCTGATAATTTGGCTGAGGATTCTACCCTTCAATTTGATACATAGCACTAAAATGGTTTTGTAATAAACCAAGAATAAGTATATTAACAAAGAACAGCGATTTAAATAACGAGTAATAGGCCAGACAAGACGGTTACAAGTAAAACCCAACCAAACAGGGCTTGTAGTAACTAACACTAAATTCTGTCAAATTACCATCTTTGTCTAAGCAGGTTTCTCACCTGTAGTCAGTTTCCAGCTCCTCCTGGGTGAAGTTGAGCCACTTTTCATGACCTCCAAGAATGCTGCTTCTTTATGTCCCACAGGTGACAGATATCCCAAAGTCTTTCAGCTCTTCCTTACATCCTCAACAGATAGCTTTTTCTTAAAGTCAGGAAACCCACCTGGGAGCCATTGCCATATTAATTTTTCAGTTTCCTGTGATTTTTCAATGGAAATGGTCTTCCTGCTATCCCTGATTCAAATGCATAGTCCATTGTTCTTGGCCACACCTGATTTGATCTTTCAGTTGAGCCCAAGAGGTGTTGGCCATTCTCCTTCCTCTGGAAAAAAGCTGGTTTTGCCTCCCGGGTCTATTTACAGACTCCCAAACATAATATCAGAGTAGCTATAAATTCACATACAGCATTGTTACTTACATTTCACAGTGATATTAACGGCTAGCTTGTTGCTAGTTTCCAAACAGTATTACAAAACACCGTTTAAATAAATATCATGACAAGTGTGTGAGGTGTATTCAGCTAGTCAAGTCAACTAAGTTGTACGGATACATGCCAGGAGGCCTTTTGCCATCTGGCATTGGGGTGCGCTTAGCGTCACAGTGGCCATTACACTGTGGTCATGGACTCCTATTCCAAAGGGCAATGGCCTTGTTTTGATGATCCTATGAAGGCTAATGGAGCCTGTTGGTTTTCCGGTTTCAGAGTAGCAGCAGAGGGCTCTGAGATAATGTATTATGTACTTGGCAGACCACTCTATTGGTGATCCAGTTGGACTTTTTAATGGCCTAACATTGTCCTGTTCCAGAAACTGAGCTCCGCAGAGCAGAGCTGCTGGTCCTCCTTAGATACAATACTGAGGGGAGGTGTCAAGAGTAGCTGGAAACTGACTACAGATGAGAAACCTGCTTAGACAAAGATGGTAACTTGGTGGAATTAAGTTTTAGTCACTACATGACCTGGGAGTTAGAACAGTTCCTCTTCTCCCCTTACTGTTTGCCTGAGGTCCTGCTCATGCTGGTATCCTGTTGAGTTTGCAGCTGGGTTACAAATCTGAGAGTGGGGTGCTATGGTTCTGTTGCTCCTGCTCTTCTACTTCTTTGCGTGAGGTGTCCATACATGATTGAATATGTTATAAGCAAATGTGGGTTTAGATGCCTTGAGACCCTTGGCTGTTAATGCCTAGATTAATACTCCCAAGCCTGTTATGTGTGAATCACAGCCACTGTCATTATGGCCAGGACTCCTGATGGGGTCTGAAAACATCAGTCCTGAACAGGCTGAAGAGGCTGTTTGCTGAGCAGTGTGATATACTCACTCTCCTTTAGGGACTGCACCCATCACAACCCTGACTCCATTCATTTGGGTTGCAGCAGACTGGGAATCCAGTAGAGGGCTGCTACATAGCTGCCCAGAGCCATACCTCATACGGTCCCATCCCAGGAAGCAGTTTTATGAAGCATTTTCATCACAGAACAGCTGAGCACTTTGCCTCATTGCTGAAGTTCAGCTACACCCCCCTGCACACTCATTCCCAACTGTAAACTTTCCATTTCACTGATGAAAGCAGCCTGGTTTATGCTTTATCTGTTCCCTGTTACTTCCTGCTCCCCACAGGGCTTCAGCAGGAGAGAAAGGAGAGCTAAGCTTTTGGCTTTTCCCCCCACTAAGCCTTGTCAAACTTCTGAGCAGCCAGCCAGGAGCCCCAGGGCATCATGGAGTCAAGGCTCTTAGATCTTTCAGGGCGGGGGTAATTCTATTTTTCCGTTCCTCCAAAGGATCTCCAATTCCCCTGCTGCTCAGTTAGTGCTAGTCTGCTTAATCCGAGTCTGTTTGAAGAAGGCAGCAACAGGGAAAAGAAAAGTTGGAAGGACAGACATGTTGTTTCCAAGCAGCTGCTTCTTGGGATCGATGTGAAAAATCAAATCAAACCCTCCTCCATTCTCAAGTTATGGTACATCTCCTCCAAACAGCCAGCCAGCCTGGCAATTAGCCTGTCTGAGGAGATAAATTCATTTTAAGCAAGGAAGGCTGCACACTTCATTGTGATGGGAGCAATGTTCTCTGTCAGTGATAGCTGGGACCTGCATTTCTTACTGGCTTTGGGATGTTTTGTTTGTACAACAAACAACAGAGACACATGGCTGAGACAGATTTTAGGTGCTCAGGTACTAAAGTGGCTGGGACTACATAAATAGATTTCTTTTTTTCGTCTCATTTTAGTTAGAGGTGCAATCCTGTGGCCTGGCATTTACTAAGCAGACAAACTGCAGATGATGCTGAAGTCAGGATCAGAAACTTAGTTCAGTGGAGTTACAAGAGACTGTTGTGCAGGCTGGTCTTGTAGCTACGGACACACAGCCGTTTGATTTTAATTACCAGAGGCAGTGTGGTCCACTTGTTAGACTGGGCCTCCATCAGAACTCAGGGGCTCAATTTCTGACTTTGCCATTGATTTGCTTTGTGATTTCCAGTCTTGCACTTGACTGTGCTTCACTTTTAGCAATTGTCGCAGTGACAGTTCTCTGGGATAGTATGTGCGCACAGTCCCTCTTTATACAGTACATTTTAAAAGTGCCATTGGCCTTCACTGCTCCTGTTCAAAGGAACATTTATCACAACAGTTATGACAATAACTGTGCATCGCTGTCCTTTCACAAGAGTCCTGAACTGGCTGGGATAAACTGGCCAGCAGATCTTCGGATTCAGCAGCTGTTAGGGGACAGTACACCTGCTCACATATCTACCTCCAGTCTCCCAGCAGAGTGGCATCTCAGTAAATTGCCACTGATGGACCAGAAATGTCAGGAGTGCCCTATCAACATTTGGATGGATTCCTGATGGTAGGTATATTATTAAGTTTGGGAATCTTGTTGAATGACATTATATAAAGATCATACATGGATAAAGCCCACTGTTTTCCCACTGTTATAATGATAAACCACAGTAAAATGTGTTACACACAGCCTATTCTTTATAATCTCTCATATGCCAGTTGCTTGTTGTAACTGTGGGTAACACTGTTCCTTTGCAAAAGGTTTAACAAACCTAAGATCTGATCCTGCAAATACTAAAGCACAGTAGAAATGACTCATGGAAGTTATGAGCCTGAATTAACTATAGTGTTTGCTAGATTGGTTCCACAGTTTCTAGCCAATGGTCCCTTGTATCTACTCCCTTATAATTGGTCACCTTGTATTCATCTTCCTGAAATCTGTAAAGCCCCTTTCCCTCAGCTGACCACTATTTGGCATGATTTAGCGTCTCTGTGGTTTGGTAGCCATACGTATCATGTCTCATACACATTTCCATGCCATATTAGCCATTTTAAATTGGCAGCAAGACAACTTTAAGACAGCCAGCATTTCAGCAATATTCACTTCCTCAGCGAAGAAGGAAAAAGAATGGGAGTGCTAACCATAAGATCCCTCTGACACAGGAACCAACCATGGCTCCCAACTACAATAAACACCACAGAAAACGGTGCAAAGGATTCTGAGATGTACCCAAGGAAGAACCAGTGATGTCACTGCAGGTGGGGTTATGGTTTGAAAGAAGCTGGAAGCCTTTCAAATAGCATCTTAAACATATCAGAAGTCCTGGAACAAGCAAACAATCCCAGCTGAGCAAGTAATAGATTGAAAAGACAACCTAGGACAGAAGCA